ATTGTGGAATATTCGCTATCAAATTCATAGACTTTCTGCACGCAAATATGGACGTAAATACAATTCGACCGGATTACGTACCAATATGGAGAAAGAAACTGGCATCAGAGTTGTTGGCTTGGGATTTTGAGCCATAGATTGTGTTTTGCTTGTATTTTTTTTTTTTATATTTTTATAACATTATGTAGTCACTTGGTTGTTTTGGCTTTGGAGTAGCAGCTATTTTGGAGTTTGAATACAATTTCAATGTACATATTTTCCATTGTCTTCTATAACTTTAAAGTTTAGATATTGTCCATGTCAGGTTGTTGAGTTTTACATGTACAAGCCTACATGTTTTCCATTGTCTTCCATTGTCGTCCATTGTCATATCGTTGCAATGTAAGATGCACACTGCTATCCTTATTTGCATAACGACTTAGAACTCGTGATGACCACACATAATGACTTCGAAGTCGTTTCAGTTAAAATTGATACTAAAACAATTTAAAACTTGTTCATGAGACAAAAAATGACATGCATATCGTTGCAATGTTAAATACACACTGCTTTTCTGATTTTGGATAACGACTTAGAAGTCGTTATGACCACACATAACGGCTTCTAAGTCGTTTCAGTTAGAATTAATACTAAAATGATTTCGACCTCATTCCCAAGACACAACGACATGAATATCGTTCCAACGTTAAATACACAATGCTTCTCTGATCTTGAGTAATGACTTAGAAATCGTTATAACCTCACATAACGACTTATAAGTCGTTTCAGTTAAAATTGAAACTAAAACAATTCCTACATCGTTTTCGAGACACAAAATGACATTCATATCGTTTCAATGTTAAATACACACTGCTTCTCTGATTTTGCGTAATGACTTAGAACTCGTTATGAACATAAATAACGACTTAAAAGTTGTTTCAGTTAAAATTGATACTAACACGATATCTACCTCGTTTCTAGGACACAAAACGACATTCATATTGTTTCAATGTTAAATACACACTGCTTTTCTGATTTTTCGTAACGACTTAGAACTCGTTATGAACATAAATAACGACTTAAAAGTCGTTTAAGTTAAAATTGATACTAAACGATTTCTACCTCGTTTCAGGGGTACAAAATGACATTAATATCGTTTCAATGTTAAATACACACTGCCTCTTCGATTTTGAGTAACGACTTAGTTATCGTTATAGGCACACATAACGACCTCTAAGTCGCGTCAGTTAAAATTGATACTAAAACGATTTCTAACTCGTTTTTGGGACACAAAACGACAATAATATCGTTTCAATGTTAAATACACATTGATTCTCTCATTTTGAGAAACGACTTAGATCTCGTTATGACAAAAAATAACGACTTAGAAGTCGTTTCAGGTAAAATTAGTACTAAAACGATTTCAAACGCGTTCCTGAGACACAAAACAACATGAATATCGTTTCAATGTTAAATACACACTGCTTCTCTGATTATCGTTTCTTCTCGTTCAGAACGACATTGATATTGTTCTAGTGTAATTGTTCCTGAAAGTTGATCCATCTCGTTTCATTATAAGCCGACTGAGTTCGAAATCGTTTCAGCTGAAATTATAAGTGCAACGACATCGGTATCGTTTCTTAACAGTTGAAACGACATTAGTATCGTTATACTTAAAAATGACGTTTCGGCCATCCACGACCACCGGCATACGTCCCACCGTACGTATGACGATAAAAACAGGTCATCGAGCCGGCTCAATCTCACTCGAGCGACGCTATGGTAACGTTTGTTATTTCTTAGTTGTCTTTCACACTCAGGTTGTTTCGATAGAAACAGGGCATCTCCGTTGGTTCTTTCGAGCCATTCGAGAGCTACCAGCCCACTTGATACGCTCTTTCGATCGTCATACACATTTCGGAGGTATGTGGAGCGATCAAAGAGGATCGAAATGTCGTTTTTAGGTATAACGACATTAATGTCGTTTCAACTGTGAAGAAACGATACCGTTGTCGTTGTACTTATTATTCCTGGTGAAACAATTTCGAACTCGTCAGATTTATAAAGAAACGAGATGGACAACATTACGTTATTTCACTACTTGGTACATAACAATATTTATGTCGTTCCTTGTATAATTTTACGACTTCTAACTCGTTTCAATTTATATAACATCTACAACGACCTCAAAGTCGTTTCTTCAAGAACATAACGATATTTATATTGTTATACCTAGAAACGATGTTTCGACCGTCCTCGATCGCTCCACATACTTTCGAAATGTGTATGATGATCGAAAGAGCGTAACAAGTGGGCTGGTAGCTCTCGAATGGCCCGAAAGAACCAACAGAGATGCCCTGTTTCTATCGAAACAACCTGAGTGTGAAAGACAACTATGAAATAACAAACGTTACCATAGCGTCGTTCGAGTGAGATTGAGCCGGTTCGATGACCTGCTTTCATTGTCAGACATACGATGGGACGTATGCCGGTGGCTGTGGATGGTCGAAACACCATTTTTAAGCATAATGATACTAATGTCGTTTCAACTGTGAAGAAACGATACCAATATCATTGTACTTATTATTCCAGGGAAAACGACTTCGAACTCGTCAGATTTGTAAAGAAACGAGATGGACAACGTTATGTTATTTCAGTACTTGGTACATAATGATATGTATGTCGTTCTTTGTGTAATTTTACGACTTCTAACCCGTTTCAGTTTATATAATATGTACAACGATCTCAAAGTCGTTTCTTCAAGAACATAACGATATTTATATCGTTATACATAGAAACGACGTTTCGACCGTCCTCGATCGCTGCACATACCTCCGAAATGTGTGTGACGATCGAAAGAGCGTAACAAGTGGGCTGGTAGCTTTTGAATGGCCCGAAAGAGCCAACGGAGATGCCCTGTTTTTATCGAAACAACCTGAGTGTGAAAGAAAACTATAAAATAACAAACGTTACCATAGCGTCGTTCAAGTGAGATTGAGCCGGCTTGATGACCTGTTTTCATCGTCATATGTACGGTGGGACGTATGTCGATGGATGTGGATGGTCGAAACGCCATTTTTAAGCATAACGATACTAATGTCGTTTCAAATGTGAAGAAACGATACCGATGTCGTTGCACTTATAATTTCATCTGAAACGATTTCGAACTCGGCCGATTTATAATAAAACGAGATGGATCAACTTTCAGGAACAATTACGCTAGAACAATATCAATGTCGTTCTGAACGAGAAGAAACGATAATCAGAGAATCAGTGTGTGTTTAACATTGAAACGATATTCATGTCGTTCTGTGTCTCAAGAACGCGTTTGGAATCGTTTTAGTACTAATTTTACCTGAAACGACTTCTAAGTCGTTATTTTTGGTCATAATGAGGTGTAAGTTGTTTCTCAAAATGAGAGAAGCAGTGTGTATTTAACATTGAAACGATATTAATGTCGTTTTGTGTCCCAGAAACGAGTTAGAAATCGTTTTAGTATCAATTTTAACTGACGCGACTTAGAAGTCATTATGTATGCCTATAACGATATCTAAGTCGTTACTCAAAATCGAAGAGGCAGTGTGTATTTAACATTGAAACGATATTAATGTCATTTTGTGCCCCTGAAACGAGGTAGAAATCGTTTTAATATCAATTTTAACTGAAACGACTTTTAAGTGGTTATTTATGTTCCTAACGAGTTCTAAGTCGTTACGCAAAATCAGAGAAGCAGTGTATATTTAACATTGAAACGATATGAATATCGTTTTATGTCCCAGAAATGAGTAGAAATCGTGTTAGTATCAATTTTAACTGAAACGACTTTTAAGTCGTTATTTATGTTCATAACGAGTTCTAAGTCGTTACAAAAAATCAGAGAAGCAGTGTGTATTTGACATTGAAACGATATGAATGTCGTTTGTTGTTTAGAAAACGAGGTAGAAATCGTTTTAGTATCAATTTTAACTGAAAGGACTTTTAAGTCGTTATTTATGTTCATAACGACTTCTAAGTCGTTACAAAAAATCAGAGAAGCAGTGTGTATTTGACATTGAAACGATAATGTCGTTTTGTGTCTCACAAACGGTTTATAACTCGTTATGTTAATCTGTACAATTTTTGAATTGGAACGGCATTCATGTCTACTGTAACGACATGAATGTAGTTTGCATTCCTTGTGAGAAAATAGGAACATGAATATCTAAAATACTAAAATTTGATTCCAACGGTACAAAAATATTTCAATAACACAATGAGTACAAAATCTAGTAAGTGATTTCATTCAGTTGATATAATAAGTACGAAGTCGTACAGTTACAAAACATGATAGTGCTACAACATTAATGTTCACTACTAGCTGCTTGGCTCGTGCAAGTGGATCGAACATGACCAGTTTTCTTGCACATGTTGCACTTACGAGCCACACGCGTCTCTCTGGCCGACCTTTTCCTCTTTTTTGATGGTCGTCCGCCCTGTTTTCATATCAATGGTGGAAATACTTCTCTGGCTATCACATTCTTAGGAATTTGCCATTCGACCTCGTTCGGCAAAGGATATACGAATTTAGAATAAGCTTGCTTCCAACAAATACTAGTGTAAAAGGGGGTACATAATTTATAGCCCTATTCTCTTTTAAACATTGCTGTAGCAATTGCATGCGCACATGGAAACTTGTCCAAATCAAATCTTCTACACGTACATGTCATTTTGTAAAAATCCACAAGGTGGTGTTCTAAATTGTCACCAACTTGATAAATGTCCGGAGAAACCTGATTTATCTCCAACCCATTTGACTCATTATATGTCATGCACATCTTTTTCTCTAATGCTGGCGTGAGTTGGGTCACACATTTTTCTGCTTCGACATGCCTTTCATAAAACCACCTTTGTAGTATTCCACGAATATATTCTAGTAAACCAACTATGGGAAGTTCTCGAGCACTCTTCAACAAACCATTTATAGATTCTGCATTATTTGTAGTCATGATATTGTAACGTATCCCGGTAAAATGCGCTCTAGCCTAACATTGAAAATCTTCTTCTAATAGGTACTCTTTGATGCCCTCCTTTTTACTGCATAGAGCTGCCATGTAGGACTCAAATTTGGTTACAATATAAGTCTCTGACGCTACCCTAAACAAAGTTGCAACATCACACCGTGGGAAATTTGTCTTCAAGTTTTTTTGCAAGTGATATGTACAATTACCATGATGAGCAAATCGAAACACATTTCTAACTCCATTTTTGATGCACGTTGCACGGTCACATATAATCACAAGGTCATCCGTATCACCTATTATTAACCACAACTTCTGAAAGAACCAAGTCCAGGATTCATCATTCTCTAAATCAACTACTCCCCATGCGAGTGGAAATATTTGAAAATTTGCATCCTGAGAAGTTGTTACGAGTAGAATACCTTTCATTCTCGATGGCAAGAATGCACCTTCTACAGAAATTACCTTTCGCATTGAGTTTACGAACCCATGTATACTTGGTCCCAATGCCATAAAAAGGTACTTGAAGCGCCGATCATCATTAGTATGAATGAATGTTATTGTACCAGGATTTTGCATCTCCAAAACATGACAATACGCTGGCAATTTCGCATAACTCTCACGGGATTTCCTACGAATCAGTCCACAAGCAAAATTTTTAGCCATGTACGCTTTAGTATAGCTTACGGTTATGCCGAACTCTCGACGAATGTCATTAATAATGTCCCTTGGTCTGTAAACTCGGTTGACATCTTCATACTTAGGAGCGATATGGTTTCCAATAATCATATATGAAGCATGCCTATGATCTCTGTGACGAACACTCATGGAGCAAGAATGATGACCATTGCACTTTCGAACTTCGAAAATGGGACTTTCTACGATCTTGGTTGCCCGTAAGCGCCACTTGCAATTTTCATCAATACAAACAATTGTATAAGTGCTCTTATTTGACCTCTTAACTTTGTACTCAAACTGGCACTTCATAGCTAGCAGCTGTAATTTTGATATTAGGTCATATTTCGATGGAAACAACTGGTTGACTCGCACATCTAATCGTTCCGGTATTTTTACTGATGTCTCGTAACAGAGCGAACTTACACTTTCAGATACAATCTGAGTGTATTCAACATCATTACCATTCACTATATCCCTACTACAAGGTTCATGCGTGCGTAACTCAAAATTATTGTCATCTGCCACAGAAGAATTAACTTCGTCATCTACCCTTCGGGGACTATCTTCACTTACGTCAAAACCATTACAATCTACAAATATTCCATCACCATTGTCATCATTACCATCGTTGTTTGCTCGATCTTGTTCCTCCTCGTTGTTCATATTTTCAATTTGTTCTCCACCATCTATTACTAATAAACATCCTTCATCACCAAAATCTTCCTGATTCTCAACAACTTCATTTAAAATACTTACACAAAGAATTTTTTTTGTACAGGTAGATATAAACCACTTTACGTTGTTGTCACAATCAATTATGATTGGTGCAGCTGGAGCTTTAGACATTATCGGGACAAGAGCTGAAATCTCCATTTTGTATAGACTCGTATCGATATTCAATGCCTCCTTAACTTTATCATATAGTTCCATGTAAGAAATTGTTTTTGCAACAAGAATATGTATTGTTTTCCCTTTGCCATTTCTAGAATACTTCCATTTCCGTCCACCTTCAACTGTCCGCTCATATTCAATTGGATAACAAACCGATATTCATAGCATGTCCATGGCGTCCGTAACCTATAACTCAACATATAAATTTCATCAAATTTTAAACATCATACAGTATTGATAATGATATGTACGTTGTCATGAATTTCAGAAAACGATATCTATGTTGTTCACAATTTCATAAAACGATATGAATGTCATTCTGTACTGAAAAAATCAAATACACGTTTCACGTGAAAACAGTGTGAAAAAAGCCAATCATCCTTCACCACTTTACATTTCACTTCAATTAATACTAAGGAATACAAATAAGGGATAATGAGAATAAGATTGGGAAGTAACCCATTTAAAGATCCAATCAAATCATAAAATAAATTCAAAATCATTATTGAAAAATGAAGACCACAAACACATATACAACAACATGAACGGATGATTCAAAACAATGGAGAAAGAAAGTGGCTCAAATATCAAAAATTTACCATACCCTCTCTTCTTCTCCAAATGCCCAATAAAAATATAGCAAGACTTTATTATTCACTTCAACCAAATGAATGTTCAAAGGAATGAGAATGTAGATTTTGTGATTTTATTAAGTAGAGAAGAAGATGATGATAAGAAAATCAGTATGGAGGCATCTACGGTGGTTGAGTCGTTCGTAGAGGAGGGAGGGAGATTAGGGTTGAAAGGAAATTGAAATGAAAATAAAGGCAATATCATCATTTCACATACAAGGATATTTTAGTCTTTTACAAATTCTATTTTCCATATTTAATAACTTTAGGCCTTTCAACTAAAAGTCTTAGTTCTTGGTCTTCTTGAACAAATGTTTAGTTTGACCAAGCCTTTTAAATGAATCCCCCATTAAAAAAAAGGAAAATTTGTCCCAATAGTCTAATTAGATAATGTATTTTGTTAAATGACCTTTGACCAATAATAAAAACAAATAGAAAAATGTAAAATATTTTAGTTGGCAAAATGACAAAATTCTCCTTTAGTTTTTTTCATTTCATTTTGTCATTTCTCCTCCAGATTCACCTTAAAATTCAAATTTCTTTTTTCTTTTTTTAAATAACGTCTTTTTCTTCCCCTTTTCATTTTCTTCAATTTTAGGTTTTCAAAATTACTATCACCTATTTTCCTTTCTTCAATCACCATTCTTACTATCTTAAAATTATGTTCTTTGTTATATTCTTCACTTATTTTGGATATTTTTTGAGTATTTGAACAAGGGTTTGGCTAGCATATCACTTACATTGAAAAATCACATCTACATTCGAAGAAAGATGCTCTTAGAAATCGTATCTATATTGTATTTTTATTTTTAAACAATATTTAGTTGGTATTGTTTTCGTATTTAGTGTGGTTTTTGTGTAATTTGCAACATTGGATGTAATAGCACTCCAACTGCTATTCGAAATATAGAATACTACTCCAGCCGTTATCTGTAAAGTAAAATGACACTGCAGTCGTTATCTACTATAATTTGATTTTTTAAATAAAATGACTCTAATAATGGATTCTCTAACATTTATAATACAAAAAGATTGACTATTCAAAAACAACGATTGAAATGATATATTTTATATTATCGTGATGGTAAAAGCACAAGTGATCGTACTCATACGTGTAGATTAAGTTAATGAAAATATCTATCAACTTTTGTACGTGTCATATACATATTATAATATAAATAAGTTTCTCTTATTATTTTTAGGGAACAAACGAGCCGTAACTGCTTATATTCGTATTTAGGCACGTAACAGCACAAGTGTCGTTTTCATATCTATTAACGACACTTGTGTTGTTTCGAAAGTTTCACCTATATCCAATTTTTTCAACAAAATAACATTTAATAATGAACTCCCTAACGCTTACATGGAAAGTTTGATAATGTCATAAATAACGTAAACGAGTTCCACTATTGGATCTAAGGGCACCGATAAGACGTGGCTACTTATACTCGTGTTTACACATATAGCCCTTGTTTGAGCTTCATTTTTTTTTTTATCAAAATGCATTATTAAATAGTAATTTAATCACATGTTTTTTAATAAAATAATATTACATACAAACTCAAAAAAATTTCTTATTTTTTAACCATACATTCTATATCATAATACTATTATAAAATTCATTTTTTGAAAAAAAAGGGGGGGGGGGGGTCAAACAATCCCATAATTGCACAAGAACCATTACTGAAATGAAAACAATCATTCTGTGTTCTATCTATAAATATGAGTTAAGAAATATACTCATTAATTATCAGTCTAGTCTCTCAATGATGGCACAAGTGCCGTTATGATTGTAAAATTACTTGTCTTTGAGAACGTCTATAACAACTTTACAACTATCATTAAACTTGTAAATATAGTTGTCTATGAAAATGGCACTTGCGTCGTTATTGAGATGAAAACGTTTATGATAACAGCACAACTGCTATTATATTTGATTTACCTGGGTCCACGAGAATGGCATGAGTGCCATTTGTAGTAGTTAAAAGATCTCTGAGAACGGTATTAACTCCATTATTGAGATTAAAAGTTATAAGAGAACGTCACAAGTGATGTTACCAAAATATAAACTTCTATTATTACTATAAAAACGACATAACTTAAGGTGTTCAATTCTAAAGGTCGTAGCTTTGGAAACAAATGAAAATAAAGAAGAAATCAATAGAATAACTCAAGTGTCGTTACTAATAATAAAACATCACTTGTTCCATTCTAACTATAATTACGAGTTTAAGCAGCCACAACCGTCCTTGCCTCAAGAAATAATAAGTTGAACTCAATTAAGTTGCAAGGTGGACATGATATTTAAAAAAAAAATGAGAGATATACTTTTTACTTTTATTTTATTGAAAATAATGAAATCACTTGAGCTTTCAACAACTTTATATCAAATAATTTACATCATTTTAATCGTTCTTTATTACGTGATTTATTTTTCTCGCGTACTTTATAGATCCAATGCTTGAGGATGAAAAGTCATTGAGAGCAACACTTGTACTGTTATTGAAATGAAAAGTTCTAAGAGAACGAAACAAGCGCCGCTTAAAGGATGAAAAGGTCATTGAGAATGACACTTGTACCGTTATTGAGATGAAAAGTTCTAAAAGAACGACACAAGTGCTGTTATTGAAATAAAATTTCTCCATTAGAACGGTACTTATGCTATTATTGCAAAAAGAACAACACTTGTGTCGTTTTATCTATAAACACGAGTATAGATAGTCTTCAAACTCATTTCAACTGCAAAATGGATATGCCGTTTGCAAAAATTGAGGTATGTGCTCATTAATTATATTTTTTAACAAATCAATACAATGACTTATGATTTCACCAACTCGATATCGTATAACGTATGTCAATTCAACTGGTCTTTGTTACAGATCAACCTTTCTAAAATTCTTAAGTTAGGGGATCTATGTTTGAGGTCTCTACATTGGAAAAGAAGTAAAATATTTGAGAAATCAATAGAACGACACGAGCTATTAAATGACACTTTTGTCGTTCTGTCTATAAACACGAGTATAAGTAGCCACGCTCATTCATGCCCTGAAAATCAATAAGTTGAACTCATTTTACTTACAATATGAATATTCTGTTTACAATAGTTGAGAAATGTGCTCATTGATTATATTTTCTAATGAATCGATACAATGAATTATAATTTCACCAACACAATGTCGTATAATCTATGTCAATTCAACCGTTCTTTGTCATGTGTTCAACCTTTCTAACTTTCTTAAGTTAGAGGATCCATATTTGAGGTCACTGCTTTGGAAAAGAAGCAAAATATTTGAGCAGAACGACACAATAACTGTTAAATGACACTTGTGTTGTTCTGTCTATAAACACGAGTATACGTAGTCACGACGCATTCATGCCCTGAGAATCAAATAAGTTGAACTCATTTCGATCGCAATATGAACATTCAATTTACAAAAGTTGAGAGATGTGCTCATTGATTGTATTTTATAACTAATCAATATTATAATTTATGATTTTACTAACTCAATGTCGTATGATCTATGTCAATTCAACCGTTCTTTGTCTCATGATCAACTTTTCTAACATTATTAAGTTAGAAGATCTAATATTTGAGGTTGTTGCGTCAGAAAAGAAACAAAATATTTAAGAAATCAACAGAACGGCACAAGAGCTTTTAAACGGCACTTGTGTCATTCTGTCTAAAAACATGAGTATACGTAGCCACAACACATCCATGCCCCGAGAATCAATAAGTGGAACTTATTTCAATTGCAATATGAACATTCTGTTTACAAAAGTTTGAGAGATGTGCTCAATGATTATATCTTCTAACGAATCAATACAATGACTTGAGATTTCACCAACTCAATGTCATATAATTTATGTCAATTCAATCGTTCTTTATCTCATGATCAACCGTTCGTTATCATGTGAATAACTTTTTTATTTTAGTTACATTAAAAAGTCCAATGCTTGATGTCTTTGCTTTGAAAATAAATCAAAATATTGGAGAATTCAAAGGAAAGACATAAGTGCCTTTATTGAGAAGAAAACGACCCTTGTATCATTTTATTTTTAAACACGAATACAAACAGTCACGCCCCATTCCTGTCTCAAGAAATAATAAGTTAAACTTGTTTACGTTGTAATATGCACATGAAATGTAAAATGGTTAAGAGATATGCTTATTAACTTAATCGACGCCTATGAGTAGGATGACTTGTGCTTTCACCATTTCGAAAATATAAACGCTATGTCATTTCAACCGTTCTTTATGATATGGTCAACCTTTCTATGTTACATACATTATGGAGTCCGTCATTAGAGGTTATTTAATTGAAAAAGATTAAATATAGGTGAAAACTTATGAACAGTACAAGTGTCATTACTGGACATGAAAACGGCACATGTGATGTTACATGTGTA